AAGAAGAAGAAGAAGAACAACAACAACGACAACAACAACAACAACAACAACCTACTGGTGCACTTAGGTGTTGTCCCTGTCCACGTCCCATCCTGCTGACACAATCTTGTTTGGGATCCAGTCATCTTGTACGTGTATTCACAAGTGTATATCACCTCCATACCAGGAATGAACTCCATCAGGTCATCTTCTCTTGAGCTGAACGCTGGACGACCAGGATCGCTGCAAGTGGCTAAGAGAGAGAGAAAATACATAGTGCTTTCATCTAAAAGGGCTTCTTTTTCTCTTGCGCGTCTAATGCTATCAAATTGTATCGAAGGTAAGGGCCTAAGGAATTCAAAGGGCTATGATAAAAATATCAACAACTGTTTTTCTCTCAGGAAGGAGCAAATATTGTGTCCCTGTTCTTTCAGTCTTCTTCGGTGGCAGAAATATGTATTGAAAAAAAACACAATTCTTTTCTTTTTATTCAACTACATGTACGTTTACAACATATAGAGCAATGTATATTTAATAAAATTAATTATGCCTGTAGAAAATGAATACGTACCTTCCTAGAGGGTGACTTTTCTATAGGTTTGTATAAACTGTAAGAATTGCTGTTTTTATCCTTAATGTGTGTGCGTCTGTCAAATGTAACACCCATATTCCCATATTCACAGCACATTATTACAATGATTGACATGGCTTTTTTGAATTACCTTTCTGCTGATACTGAAGTGCGCAGTGTCCACTTCACTCCGTTTCTCTCTCTCTCTCTCTCTCTCTCTCTCTCTCTCTCTCTCTCTCTCTCTCTCTCTCTCTCTCTCTCTCTCTCTCTCTCGGTGTCACATCTATTGCCTTTGCATAAAGGATCGCAAAGACTTGAATCAACAATCAAGTGTGTGAGGTGACTGGGGATCAATCTATAGATGCCCTGAGTGCACAACAAACAACTGATTCCCAATAAATAATAAATAAATAATATATAATCAACTTACAGCAGAAACGTGGAGGTTCAAGTGTTCGGATGTTATCCAGAGGAACCTCTTGGTGATCATTCCTCCCATCAAACTGGACACCATATAGGCTCCCACTGTTCATTCTTACTGTACCTAGCATGAACTTACGATCCTGTGAGTTCACTGCCAGAACGCGGGTACCATTAAATATCTCACTTTTTGATGGTATTCTGTCTTCTACCATGGCATAATGTTGAGTTCCTTTTCCAAGGACGAGGATGTCTTCTTCCTCGTCTTCTGCCTCGTAGTACACAGTCACCTGGTTACCAGACTTGGATTGTACTGTTCCATGTTTGAAGTGAGAAGGTTTTCGCACAAAAACTGGTGTTCCAACTCTAGCGCACTCTAGAACAAGTCAAAAGCAACGTGAATAGTCTACCAGACTCCATCGCACACTTTCTTTTGTTCAGTTAATTAGCACCAATAGCCAATGTCCAAGAGCAGGAACCTAGCACAAAGCATGATGGTAAACTGAGTACTTACGCTTTTTCAGCTCCTCTAAAAAACCCTCTGACAATTTTTCCTTCCACATTATCTATGAAACTGTAAGCATTTCAACAGACAAAAATAACAGTCAATTTTTTCTGATAATTCTATTGATTTCCTTGCTTGTTCTGATTTGTGTAGTGTTCGGTTTTCCGTAGTGCTTTGTGATAAAGATTCGTGCTCGTGCACATTGGCTATTGTCTTACTATTGTCATGAGTAAAATACACATTTGAATAAGAAAAAAAATTCGCCAAGCATTAAGGTAGTGTTTCAAATGTCGCCCATACAAACGTCCTATTCTATAATGCAGTATACAATATAGGTTGTGCGCAATTACAACGCATAAAACGTGCACTCGAGGAACATTCCAAGTTGCGCATCAACTGCCTGAAACTGATAATGAGGGTGGAATGGAGTACATTATGCACTCTTACTGTCACTTTGCAGTGTAGTTATGTCCAGGGTCGATTCTTCTCCATGAAGGATTCTCCGGTTTTCAAAATAAACATGTGAATTGAGTGTTGTGCGTTCTAGTACTGGTAGTATTATTTTATAGAGAAAATTGGCAATCATACTAGCAGCATAGACATGGAACTCACCAAAGCATGTTGGTTCGGGCCCTGTCCATTGTCCAGTTTTCAAGCATTTTCTCCAGTGAGAGCCGAAGAGTGTGTAACCAGGATTGCAAAAGAAGCGCACGATTGATCCCTCGGTGTTGTTATCCATTTGAATAGCTCCATTCAGAAGAACTTTGGGTCGAGGACATCGAACCTCTGGAAAAAGGAAAAAAACAGATGTGTTACGACTTTATGGCGCACGACCTTTAATCAAAAGTAGCATTTTCACCAACTTTGACCAAGAATAACACCTGCAATAAACAAAAAAACAAAAATAAACAAAAATCGATGTCACAGTTTTGGTTGAATTTTTTCCAAAACCAAACTGCAAAAAAAAGATTGATTGAAAATTGATATCTACTTCATTGCGGTGTAGCGTAAATTCTGACAAAATTTTCTCAAGACATCATGAAGGCGGTAGATTTAAAACACAAATAGGAAACTTGTATTTGTACCTTTGCAAACTGGTAGAATTCCATGCCATTTACCATCATCCCCACAATAGATCTTCTGGTTGCCTTCTCTGTAGTACCCTGGCTTGCAGACATACTCAATCTGATTTTTATACACCAAGCCACCTTCACCATAGAGGAAAAGCTTGGAATGCGAAATGGACGGCGGCTCACCGCATGGAATAGCTGTTTGATAAAATTGATATAAAAAAGCAAATTAGTCAATTTTAATAATGGTAATTTGCTCATGTGCGCATGCCCAACTGGTTATTGATTTTGTTCAGTAAGGCGTACTCAAAAGGCATCAAAGATTGGCCGACAATACACCTTTTGCTGTTCATTTACAGAAAATGTACATTCATTTGTGCAAATAGTTGTATCAATAACGTGTAATGTACTTTCATCAACGCCGCAAGTGACATCAATAGCGCGGATCAACTTTCAATAACTTTTTATTTCTCTTATTGTTTATTCGAATCATGCAAATGTTTGTCGAACCACGCTATAGAATATAACGTTGACCCTCATGATTGTCCAAGCGCGTTATAGATTGTCAATGATTATGCTAATAGCACTAATGAATTTTCACTTTCGGGTAAATGATTGTCCATAAATGCTATTGTTTGTCTTTTGGTGTTATTGAAGTTGAATTTCGCGCACAAGAAAATACATTCCGCGCATATGAATGTACAAACGCGCTATTGATTGTCCTTTGATGCCTATGAATGTACACGCATATTCAATTATCGTTATTGAAAGTTGATCCGCGCTAATGATGTTACTTGTGGTGTTGATGAAAGTACATTACACGTTATTGATACAACTATTGGCACAAATGAATGTACATTTTCTGTTTATGAACGGCAAAAGGTGTACATGAAATCTTTAGTTTTCAAAATGTCTACCCCAATCTTTGATACGAGTAGCAATAAACATTTGATATTCTATTAAAATGTATAGAGAATTATATTTGAGTTGAATAAAATGCGCGCACGATTTTTCGACGTCAAAGCAATACATTTTGCACTAAGTATCTTACGTCTGCAAATCGGTTGTGAATCGCTCCATGTTCGGTTTGCCTGGCAAGTACGCGTAGCTGGACCTTCTAGAAAGTAGCCTTTGTTGCAGGAGAAGCTCACGGTGTTGGAATACTGGAACATCATCCCAATCCTCTTGCCATTGAACGGCATTCCAGGGTCGCCACAACTTCGAGCTGAGAAAACATAATGTCGTATATCAATGATGAACCCTGCTTATTTTCTTCGACTCAGGACCCAAACGAATAGCCAAAGAATAGACCTTTTCACTGATGCGGCAGCCATCTTGATTTATGGGATGCCAAGGAGCAAACGTAGAAAATTCTTATAAAGCATAGAGTGACGGGGTTACGTTGTCAAATGATTTGAAGTCTTGGTGTTTTGAATTTTGTTCCAACTACCAAAAAAGTCAATTCACCATTTTCCATACATCGGTTCACTGGTCAAACACAAAGCGCTCAAGCGAGACGACAAGATACTTTCAAAGGATTATTCAAATTTGAACCTTGCAACCTCGGCTGAATGCTTTGTGTTTGACCAGTTGACCAATGTATGGAAAATGGTGAATTGCATTTTGATGTGCTTCTTTTTGAAAAGCGTAACGTTATATATATAAGAATATACCCTGACAGCTGTGCAGTCTATAATTTTTACAATAGTTGCCCCCTCGGCATCCCATAATGTTACAGAATTCAAAATGGCCTCCTGCGAGGTTATAACCATACCTATGCAAGTAACGTTGCTATCGGTCCATCTACCGTCTTTCTTGCATACAGCGAAAGGGTATCCTCTCCTAAAGAAGCCATCGTTGCACATAAGATGGATGATTGATCCAGCGTCGTATTGGTCTCCTTTAATGTACCCATTGAGAGGTGATACTGGGGATGGACATGTGATGCCTGGACAGAAATATAAAATAGATGTGAATTGAAATGAGAAGCAAAAACAAAAATTGTAATAATCGTAATAACATGAGACATTTTTCGGCTGCACGGCAACGCGGCAAAATTAGGGTATTGGTGCTATTTAACAAAAGATTTCTTATTAGCATCCATTGTTATCGCTACAAGAAGGCTGTCATGTTTTTGGCTTTTCCTGCACTCTCTTGGAAATGCTTCCAACCGATTTATTGAAATAAAAGGGTTGTTAGCCTGTCCACTTTTTCTCAGGGGGGACAAGAGACACTGTTTTGGCCAAATACAACCACAAAATATTGGTAGCAATTACCTGCAGTTGTCGGGAGAATCTCAGAACTATTGGTAGAAGCAGTAGTCTTTACTGGAAAGCAAAAAAGAGCTATGTCAGGGTGAAACTTTTACTAGTACATAACAGATTACGAGACAATTTTATGTCGTTATTAATATTCCTTGTGAAACTTTTTTTAGTTGCCAATTAAGTAGTGTGCGGGGGGGG